CAGTTGTGCCCGGCTTGTCTGTAGCCGTACCATCCCGTGAGGCGTCAGCGGGGATCGAACCAGCATCATTACTTCCCAGTAAGTCACGAAAGTTGACATAACAACCGTCTTTCACACTAGCTATACCCGAGACCACTGTAGAAGGTAGGCCGTAGAACAAGCTCGCTGGCAATGGTGATTGGTAGTTCTTCAGAGCAGTCTCAACGATAGAACCCACGGGGATTGCCGTTCTGGAGGCCTCTATCTGAGCATTGAGCTTCCTTCTCTTCTTCACCACAGCACCGATCTCTTCACATACGACCGTCAGAGTGGCGCTAGCTGCTATAGACACCGAGTTGCCGATCCTATCCTTGACTTGCTGGGAGAGCGAACCGAGTAAGTGCGCCTCCGTCAGACACTCTTTCGCTAATGCCGAGCAGAGTTCTTCAGCGACCGGTGCAGACGGAGCGAGGCGCTTGATCAGCATAGCAACGTCGTCTTTCAGAGCGATCTCTACCGGGGTTGTAGCTGGCTCGCTGACCTCGACCTCGTCTTCGTTACTGCCGTTGGTGTTAGAAGGATTGGACATTCCGAAAGTTGACGATGCGTCACTAACTGCGAGAGTCAAGTTTCGTCATTTTGTACCCATTGAAACACGGTGTATGATCCGTTATCGTTGTCGCATTTCTTCTCGTGTGAAACGCTTGCGCGCACTGCGATTGTGTGCGTTGTGTGGCTGACAACTAACCTTGTCTACTTCGTAAACTCCAATTTGGTAGAGCGATGCATCACCTCGGCTATGAATCCTGAAGCACTCATCGACAGTTTGGCCGAGTGGTCCAAGGCGCTGGCTTTAGGCGTCAGGCCGAAAGGGCGTGGGTTCGAACCCCACAGCTGTCAGTCTATATACCTGACTGGTCTTATATTAAGAACCGAGACCCTTTCAGAAGCGAGGTAGTGCAAGACCAAAACCTTTTGATCGATATTGTGCCATCGCACCTCGCAGAATCCGTTCAATCCATTTTTTGTGTCCTCTGGTTTGGCAGAGCGATGCATCACCTCGGCTATGAATCTTGAAGCACTCATCGACAGTTTGGCCGAGTGGTCTAAGGCGCTGGCTTCAGGCGTCAGTCCGCAAGGGCG